TAGATGTTGGAGCTTGGCCTGTTTTCCAGTGTAGTCCTGTTTTTCTGACTATGACTGACTGGATGTGGTTTCTTTATCCTCTGTCATGGGAGCTGGCTCGTTGCTTGCCTGCCTAGCTGTGTGTTTCCTTTTACAGCTGCTTTTTGAATCTCTGCTTCTGTCTCCTTGAACCCCAGTGGGCCTCAGCAGATGGCCGCTCACACTGAGCCTGGTTCTGCTGGAGGTTTTTTCATGATAAAAGGGAGTTTTTCCTCTCCACTGTCGCTATAAGCATGCTTAGTGTGAGGAATTGCCTTCCAGTCAATGAGTCGGTGCAATCAACTGGTTTTCCTTAGATAGAAAACTTTGAATCAATCTGACTGGATGATCTGGTTGAACTGTAAAGTGCTTTGAGATGACATGTGTTGTGAATTGGCGCTATATAAATAAACTGAATTAAACGTCTGCCACTGATTCCTCATTTAATTTCCTAGAATATTTACCTTTCTGTTCATCTAAATTTCTGCTGCTCTGCTCTTTGAAAACTACAGGAGACTGTGGACAATTTCATTGAATCTTTTTTCTCAAATCAAAAAGTGACATTCATACCACACGTGTTAAGTTCAAGATCATCTTCTAAATTTTCTCAGAATAGTTGAGAGAAAGGAATAAAGTCTTGAAACAGTCCCCAGACTCCCTTAATGCTAACTACTTGATATTAGCTAGTTACATGATCTTTCTGCTCAGGTAGCTAGCCTGCAGACATGTTGCCTGTAGCTTTCTTAATGCAATTTCAGAAGAGGGTCAGTATGTCTAATATGAGGGTTACCAGGTCAAAGTTCTTTTTGGAGACTGTTTTTAAAACCTTATCAATCTTCATAAAGTCATTTTCCACACCTATCAAACTTAACAACTTTTTAAAAAGTTAATAAAGTTGGCCTAAAACCTTAAACAGTTAACATTTCCAAGCCACTGAAATATAACATCATGTTTTTCCCAACATTAAAGCCTTTAATGGAAATGCTGGCTGTATTTTTTTTTTTTTTGCAGTATGGGACACATGTTATGTTAGGCAGCAAAGCCACTCGCCTCAACCTTTCCTTCCTTCTGCCTTTTCTTCCTCACCATGAGAGAAAAAAATTCAGCTGCTTGGAAATATTTAAAATCCCAGAAGACACAAGTAACCAAGGTGTTACACTAACAGACTACCAACCATCACTTTAATTTAGGTAACATTTTGCAACGTACCTCTATCAGCTATCTGTTAACCACTCCTTTACAGTAGATTAACTTTTTGTGCACATAGACTTTTATGCTATGTTCTTCTATAAAAAGCAGAATGCACTGAGACATTGAAAACTATTTCTACAAATAGCAGGTGTTTGTACTCTTTATAAAATGAATAGCATAGAAAATAGTCTCATAACTGTAATGTAATGCTGCAATAAAAACGGTCTTGACATCTTTCAAAGACAAAGGAATTGATTGTGAACTTCACGGAATCTAGTGGTAATAATAAACTCAGCTTAACTACCGATCAGGATGTTGATAAAGCTGTCACATATATAATTTGAGTAGTGTGTAAAACTTAAACGTGTTTGCTAACAGTTTAACTCCTCCTGGCCAGTGAGTGGTGCACTAATATTTGCCCACTCTCAATGCTCCGTATCTTTTGCTGGCAGGTTTCTAATTACCACCAACAATTAACTTGCCTGGTAACGAGAAATGACCCCAATAGGCTCCTTTGCTCCCTAAATAAGCTTGGCTGATGTTCACTCTCTTTTTGGTTTGTTTTTTTATTTAATTTTTTTTTCCGCTTGACTCTCAGAAAAGTAACTCCAAAAAGAAGTCAGCTCTATTATGAAGCTACCAGGATCTGGTGCAGCATCCTTTCTGTAGACATCAGCATTTTAAACTGAGAGTAAATATTATTTATTAAAAAATGGGCACTGTAAAAAGTTTTATTATTTCTGTTATTTTATTTGTGTGTGGTTTTGATTGTGTGTGCTATCCATGTGCCAAACTCAATTGGCCTTTTAAATTTGATAAATAGTTCCATGATAGTTTCTATAATGAAAAAATTCTTGGTGTTTCTGTAATGAAAACAATCATCTCACACTTAGAGTTTTGTTAGAAAGTCTAAGCACTCCAAAACCTAGTTGTTACTTTTCTACTTAATACTGTGAGATTCTTGTTCCAGTTCTATATGACAGCATAAATTACACCAGTATCCTGGCATTGTTACACTCGATTAGAGCTGAAAAAAATTTAAAAATGTCTAAATGAAAAATTCAAATGGAATTTGATCCTGGGTTTAAAATTTAAGGGAAAAATAAATGGCAGAAAACAATCTCTTTATGCAGATCTCTAAAGAACTGTCTGCGTTTAGAGGAATGTGTGCATCCTTGTGTGCCTCTCACCCTCTCTTCCCGGCTCTGCAGTGCTCTGCAGAAGTGTTGGAGGCTGTAGACCTCCCCAAGCAGCTGGAGGCTCCCTTCCCTCAGCTCGGAAACCTCCTCCTCTTTCTCCTCTCCACTCCACGCTTCTTGCTGCAGGCCAGCCACCAGCCTACACAGGTTGGTTAAAGATACGTGCCAGTAGGGGGCACTCTGCCTATTGTATTTCATCTGCAACAGAACCAGAAGAACGGGGGTGGTGAGCTGGAACCAGGATGGGGCTCTAGATAGAAATGTGGATGTGATGGAAAGGATTCAGTTTCACAGACTGGGAACAAATTGGAGCGTAGGATGGAGGAGTCGAGTTCTAGACAAAGTTAAAGAGTCAGAAAAGATAAAAATAAAAACACTGATGGACTTAGTTTGAGTTGTTTTTCCTCAAAGCTGAGATGCAGGTAAAAATAGCCTAAACTTCCTTATGAAGTATAATCCAATATTGTTGCTCGAATCTCAAACATGCTGCCTCTTGTTAACCACCATTAAGACGTAAACAGTCATACTGTAGTGCAAGCTGTTGATGTCAGTCCAATATCTGCACAAACCGGCTTTAAAACGGCAATACAGCTGTTGACACTTTTGGTCAAAAGAAAAAGCTCTTTAGTCTTGTCAGTTTTAACACTTTGCTTAGACTCATTCCACCTCTATGGTTTAAAAAAATCCTTCCTGCTCTCTGATGAGAAGAGGGAGCAACCAAAAGTCAATATAAAGGTGCAAAATGAGAACCAATCCTCTGGGTATCGGTTGGACAGGTGCTGTTGATGAGAATTAGGGTAACAGACTAAACAGATATGCACTAAAACAGAGGAATTTGGGAGGATAAAACATATTAGAATAGCTGTATTTTAAGCAATCAAATCAATCTTTAAATGCAATGTTTAGTTGAATTCTAACAACAAACTCTGTGATTTTCTTTTTTTCTGTGCTGTGCTTTTTTCTGTGTTGAAGCAAGAATTACTTTAACATTTAGTTTTAGATGCGTTTGCAAAAGCTGAAGTCAGGCTCGCTAGCTAAATCTTAGCCTGAGATTAGAGTTTATACTGTAGGTTTCACATCCACATCTAAGTAGAGGATTCTAGACATAAAGATGCTGAATGCATGCTGAAATCATGCCTATTAATTGCTATCTAGAGGTTTTATACTTAAAATGTATTTGATAAATATATTTTTTTTCCTGTACAGTAGTGTCAATTCATTTTAGTTTATTTCTATAGTAGCAATTATCAACACATCTTATCTCAAGGCACTTTATAGAAACAATTCAATCAGATCATCTAGTTAGATTAGTTTCCATCAGGAAAACCATCTGATTGCATCCAGTCATTGACTCACAGGATTCGCTGCTCCTGGATGAGCATATGGTGACAGTAGATATTTGCTTGACTCACATCAATCCCTCACACCGAGCATGCATGCAGTGACAGTGGAGAGGAAAAACTCCCTTTAAACAGCAAGAAACCTCCAGTAGAACCAGACTCGGTGTGAACGGCCATCTGCCGAGGCTGACTGGTAGTTTGTATGAAGCTAAGTGTCAGAATATTAGGGCAGAAAAAAGAAGGAATTTTTTTAAGTAAATTAAGCATTCTGAGTAAAATACTTTATAGGCTCTTTGATATATTTGTGAGGGGTTATACTATCCTCCATGACTCTAAATAAAACATAATCTGTTTAAAATCATAAAATAAAGACAAATTTACTTAGCAGTAATAGAACACTTGGGCCCTTGTGAGGTTATGTTTGTGTTATTAGGACTGTTTTTTTTTCTTTTCTGCTGTCATAGTAGAATCTATACTAGGGCATCTATAGCAAACGCTTTATCATTTCACAATGTAAAGCCTTTAAAAGCAAACTGAGGTCAGAGGAAAACAAATCAGTCTAACAGGTAAATGTTTCCTGTATTATGATTACAGGTTCAGATAAGAGACTACCTCTGGTACCTCATCAGAGGAGATCAGGGACCAGCGGGTCATTCAGTCTGAATGATCATGAATATTGTTCAAATGGAGAGTGACAGCATCTCCTTTTTGCACTACTTCTCCTTCCAGATTCTCAAACGCTCTATCAGCCATCCGACAACGTATAATCACGATCATCACCCCTGAGCGCGTGCCGAGCTTCATCGGCAATGAATCACATGGCTGATTTGTCTCTGTCACGTCTCTGTGTGAGCAGCCCCGGTTGTTTATCAGACTGAGAAAAGGAGGAGGATGTGCTGTCAGATCCATCTGAACCCCATTAGCCAACCTCTGCATCCTTTGAGTTCCTCTCATACTTGCTTCATCTCTCAGATTTGGGTGTTATTGATTTGACACGATTAACTTCATTTTATAAAAGTCAAAAAACAACAAGTGAGTCACTTTTTTTTCCCTTTTTTCCCTAACCCCCAATGGTTGCATTATCCTAATGAAAAGATCTCAACTGGAATAAACAAAAACGATCTTTCACTCAGTCAACCTGAAATAAAAGCCACTCTCCTCTTGCTGCTTAACTGTTTAAACCCCCACTCAGCAAAAAAACACAAGCAGGACCTGAGGCTCCCACTGAGGGTTTGCATGAAAGGACACCTGTGTGGTTAAAGGTGGAGGCCATGAAAACTGGAGGATGCTTTTTAAGAGACGAATTCTCTGATGCTGCAAAAAAGTATCACACCTTAGAGGTGAGGAGGCTGGTGAGAAGATCATCTGCGAGTGTTCGCTGCTCCTGCTCCACATCTGTCAGAAGAACATGAAGATGAAACCATCAGCTTGAGAAAAGATTTACTTTGAGGATTTCTGACTTACTTAAACTTTAAGATCCTCCTGAATAAAGCGTTTTAGGTAATGATTGCATCTTAACAACAGTTTAATTCAGCCATAGTAACATGGAGCTTTGATTTAGACCAATAAATTCTGACTTTGAATATGAAATTTCTAAAATTATGAACAGGACCAAAATATTAAATTAGAAAGTTTATGAATTAAAGGGTTAAAATTGCAGAACATGTATGAAGATTACCTAATAAAACTATGTTTCGCTGGCTAATGAATAATAGTCATTATCACTATCTTAATGTTTTTTTAGTAAATTCAACCCTCCAAACAATTAGGATGGTTTTATATTGGTGATAAATCATTTGTAGACTTTAACTGAAGTTTCTGCTATTGCAAAAGGGCAAAGGTTTCACATGTCAGTTGGTTAAAGGATTAGTCTGTATAGCTATTGTTCTAATTACAAGCTAATTAAATTGCATTTCCTAGTTATAAGCCAGATGATTTCTTAAGAAGTTGTCAGAAATTATTCAAGAGTCAATAAGGCCCCATCAGAGTTGCCTCTTCAAATAAAACCTGCTTTATATAATTACAGAGAAGGAGAAGGTCATAATTTGGCTGAAGATCAACGCTATTGTTCTACTGGGCATTTTGGTATTTAATATATATGATCAAGAATATGGATTGAGAAAGTTTGAATACAAATACAAAAAAAATTTAATTTAACCTGTTTTTGTAAATATGATCTATAATACATTTTTAATTCAGTCTATCTATAGCAACACTTTATAGAAACAATTCAATCAGATCCTACTGTCACATAGTTAAACCAACTGATTGCATTCAGTTATTTTTGCAGGATTCCTAAAACAAAATGATTAAATGACAAAAATCAAAACAATTATTTTGAGTGAAACGGCTTCAGAAATAAACATTGCTATTCTAAAGAAATATTTTTAAATGTTATGTTGTTTTAAAGGGCTATAATTTACTGCTCACATTCTAATGGGTGTTTTTTTGTATGAATGTAATGAGGAATATTGATATAATATATATAATTAAAATCTCTGCAAACAAGCTGTGTGCTTTGATTAAGTAATTTATTCAGTCAGAACAATTTCATTCAGAAATGTTGATCCAGAGAAAGCCTAAATTAATTTTGACACTTTTTCACATAACCTCTTTAAATCTATAAATTAAAAGGGAGAAAAGATAGGTTATTATTTTTTTCGTGTCCAATAAATCAAATGATAAATAAAAGCAGAGAACCTGTTGAGAGGTGCCTGTTGCTCACCTGTGCAAAGTGTGCCGCATGTGACACAGAGAAGAATCAAACAAGCCAGCTGTGCCTGCATCCTGATGACAAAGGAGAACCGTGTGAAGTAAAGGGCTGCTGGACTGAGAAGTTCACCTGAGGACGGGTCTTAGTCCATAAAGTTAAGGGTTCTGATGCTACTGAAGAAGCTGGAGAGAAGTTTATGGTGATGCTGCTGCTTCTTTTTCTTCTTGTTCTTCTCCTCAAGCTCTCAGACGTTCTCACAGCTTCTTGCTTGGATGTGAAGTGCAGTGGGCTCCATTCCCTCAGTATATAAGAGCCCATGTGATGTCAGAGCATCAGTCTCTTTACCCCTGCTCCCACCCATCGATTCTCCTCATCTTTATCCCAACCTTCCCACCCACTGCCCCCCACCCCTCGTCTTTTACTTCATATCATCTTTTTCCATCCTGTCACAGCCTCCTCAGACGTCACTTTGGCATCATGAGGCGAAAAGGTTTTTTGCGTCACGGGTTGGCACATTTGGTTTTGCGTCCTCATGAACGAACTCGGAGAGAGGTTTACTGTGGACTTGTCTCTGAGCGGGTGACGTGGGAGGAAACACAGATCAACCTTTCTGTCATTGCTTGAACAAAAAACAAAGCAATGTTCTTTGGAAATTAATGGATGAGTTTCAAACGAGTTGAACAGGTAGATTTCAGCAGCAAACTGACGCATCTCTAAGTAATCCTTCATACATCACTCAGTATTTCAGTTCAGTTAAACGTTTCTTAAGATTATTCTAAACAAACATTCACTGATAAAATGGTCTGTATAAAGACTTACTAACCTACATTTCCTTCATTTTTAGAAAATTTCTTAATTTACCTTAACATGGGAAATAATGCAGGAGTTTTTTTCCCTCTTTTTTATTAAAATATGAATAAAAAAATAAGAGAATACAGTAAAATATAGATAATACAGAATAATGCATAAATCCTTGCGGTTTGTTAAAAAACAAAGGTTTATAAAGAGTCCATAATAGCTGATATTTCACTGTTCTAGGTGCGCTGGTTGTGTGTTTAAACACAATGTTTCTTCTGTTCATCAATCTGGGCAGTTTAGGACTTCCCTGAGCATTAAAACTTCAATCTGAAAAACTCAAACGGAGAAAAGACAATTAGGAGAAATTTATTGATACAATTACTTTGTCTTTGGCGCTCAGACTTCGGCAGAAAACATAGAGTGTAATTTCAATAGATATGTATGAACAGGAGCAAAGAACAGGGCTGTTTCTTGGAGAGTGGCAAATCAAACGAGACCTAAGTGAGGATAAATCCTTCACCATAACCCTTTTACCATAATTATATCTGTGAAACATGGAGGAGTCTCTGTTATGCTCTGGGGGTGCTTTGCTTCGTCTGGCACAGGGTGTCTGAATCTCTGCAGGGTCCAATGAAATCTCCAGACTATCAAAGGATTCTAGAGAGAAAAGTGCTGCTCAGTGTCAGAAGTGGTCACGGTAGCAGATCATGGATCTTTAACAGGATAATGACCAAAAAATACACAGAAACAGCCGAGAATAGCTAAGAGGAAAGCAATAGATTGTGCTGATTCTATGAGCTCTGACATAAATCCTATTGAGCTTCTTTGAAATGAGCAGAAACATGGTGTCTGGAAAAGGCTCCCTTCAAACCTGAGACAACTGGAGGAGTTTGCTCATGAGGAGTGGACCCAAAAAGGAGCCTGAGAGGAGCAGAAGTCTCACTGACAGTTACAGGAACAGTTTGATTTCAGTGACTGACTGAAAAGACCCGAGCTCGTAACATCATAAATGACCCCTCACCCCCCCACCATGGACTGTTCTCCCTGCTGCCCTCGGGAAAGAGACTTCGTAGCATCCAATGCAGGTCCAGCAGATTCCAATGTCAAATTTATTTATATAGCACTTAAAAAACAGGCATAAAACTGCACCAAAGTGCTTTACAGGAAAGACAACAACACCAATTAACAAAACAGAATATAAAACACTGGTTCAAATAAAAGCTGAAGAATAAAAATAAGTTTTAAGAAGCGATTTAAAATGATCCAGGCTGTGGGCAGATTTAATTTGAAGAGATAAATGGTTCCACAGAATTGGAGCAACAACAGAAAAGGCCCGATCTTCTTTCCTCTTTAGTCGAGTCCGAGGAACTGTCAGTAATAGTTGATTATTAGAGCGTAGACTTCTTGAAACAGACTGGATTTTTAAAAGGTCTCTAAGATAAGGAGGAGCTAATCCATTTAAGACATTATAAGTTAATAAAAGAATCTTAAAATCTATTCTGTAAAAGACAGGCAGCCAGAGTAAAGAGGCCAGTATGGGCCTTATATGGTCACGCTTCCTGGTTCCTGTTAGAAGCCGAGCCACTGCATGATTTATCCATGCCTCTATATAATGAACTGCAATAATCCAACCGGGATGTAATGAAAGCTTGGATACTGTAAGTCCTTTAAAGTCCTTAAAACAGAAATAAGATTTAATTTTTGCTAAAATCTGCAGGTGATAAAAACTTGATCTAATAACAGAGCTAACTTGTTTATCTAGCTTTTAACAGCTGTGGAAAGTAAAACCAAGATTCCCAGCAGAGGTCTGACAAAACCGAGCTAAAGAACCAAGAATCAGATCTGGATTTGTAGCATGAAGACTCTGACTAAATAATATAACTTGAGTTTTACTTTAAGATGATTCAATAACAGTTTCTTCCCCACTGCCATTAGACTGCTGAATGTTTTGTAAAATGGGTTAGTGTATTGTATTGTATTATATTTTATCATTATATATATAAAAATGAAAATGTTAGAACTGTAAATTTAAAGTCATATGTTTATATTACTGTTTTCATATATATTTTTTGCTATTTTTCAAGGCTGCACTTTTACAAAAAGAAATTGTCTAGAGAGCTGTTCCAAATTAAATTTCTTTATGTTATACACATGTGTAAACAAAATGACAAATAAATCTGTGTACAGTAAGTCTAAGTCTTAGTCTGAAAGGTTGGGCAACAAAATACCAAGTTAAGGAAACCATCATTTTAGTCCAGACATGTTCTGAAAACTAATACCTGCTCTTCGTTTATTTATTTTTCATTCATTTCTGTTATTTTTCTCTCATTAAATGAAATTTTTGTCCACTTGTATCAGTTTAATGTCTCTTAAGTTGATTTGCTTCTTTTAAGTGGATAACCTGAAACCCTCAGCTTTTCTTTCATTTTTAGATGTTTTTATTTCTGTTGTAAGTCGCCTGTCTGGTTCAGTGTCTCCTACAGGTGGAAGGGGGCAGAGTTAGACAGGAAACACCTCCCTCTGTTGGGGCGGATAGAGTTGCAGCCGGGACACTTCACAAACTTTTTTTCTCACTGTCCAACTGAAACATTCCTACACAGTGTAGTGCGCGTCCTGCCATGCTTCTCAGGCTGTAGTTTTGGATCGCCTGGACTGTCTTTGTCTTCTTGCATTCCTGAGTCATGGCTCCGTTTGGAAAGAACTTCCTAAAGGCCCGGCTCAAGAACAGGTAACTCGATGAGACTGCGGAGAGTCACTTGAAACCTGCGTGTTTTCTGCTGGGAGAATGCGCTCGTTTGGAGATGGATTATTACGCAGGACGCAGCGCGCGTCGGATCTGTGCAGCTCCGAAAACAAAGCGGGTTAAGCTGCTGGGCTGTTGTTCAAGTGGAACAGAGGAAGCAATACAAAAGAGTGAAACAAATGTCTACATTATAATCCCGTTCAAGACAAATTATAAACCTTTGAGGATTAGAGGATAGTGGTGGGCTTTAATGGGAAGGATTTCAATCCTCTCCTTTTTAAAGGGTTTAAATGGATATGAGTTGTTTTTTTCTAACTTTGTTATGGAAATTACAGAAAAAATGTGAAAAGGCACCAGAAAAAGATTTAGGATGAGGTTAGAGTTTAGTATTGCTGATTCAGTTTTCTATGCAGCAATGAAATGTGAACTGGTGGCTCTCATTCCTTAGAAATTGTCTTACCTTTGACCTTCTCCTTCTCTGTAATTATAACACTTGCTTTCAAAACTGCAGTGAGTCACAAAAAAAGTCCTTGAAATTACAGAAGTTAGGTTCACCTAAATGTACCATTCATCTGGTAAACAATTTTTTTTTCTTTTTTTGCTTAAATTCTGACATTTAGGGGTTATCATTAACCTAAACATTTGATTAAAGTTTAACAGATGATAGTTTTCATTTGCTGTGTTGAATGGAGAACTGTATGGCTGAGAAAAGGTTCAGGTGTCGGAGCAAGAATCAAAGTTTGCATCCAGCTGTAGTTTAATTTACCAACAGTAGTAGTGTTAGTAATCTGAGTTTTATACACTGATAAAAGCAAACTTTAATGTAATCATTAAAACTGTTTTACTTTTATTTGCCTTTATCTGATTTAGGTTTTCATTAGATTTTTATTGATGATTATTATGGAATATTACAATCGATAGATTTAAAATGGTTACAACAAGAGATGTTCCACATTAAGCCATCAGCATGATGTCTGAGTGCTGCAAACGCACTGCAAATGCATAAATACCCAGAGAATACAAAAATTTGTGCAAACACAAAAATGAAACTAAGACACAAACGCACAGAAAATTATTGCACGTAGCAAAAACAACTGAGATCTAAGAAAAGCTGCATAGCTCCACAGGGGCAGAATGTTATCAGACCATTAGCAAAAATGTAGATGGGGTGTCTGCCAACAGGATGCTAAGAGAGAATTTAAAACACGTACGTTTTATTCTTTTTATCTTTAGAAATGCTTAAGCTTTCTAAGGATCCTGTTTTTCTCCTTAACTAAGGTCCTTTGATCATAGAGTGATGATATTCTCCCTTAGCGGTCTGCAGTACCGTTGCTATCCAGAGCTAGTTTTGCAGCTTGTCTTAACTTGTAGTTTGTACTCCCAGCACATTTACTTTGCACATGTTTAACTTATTAGCATATTTTATGTGTCTGCAGTGGGGTTTGAATTAGCAGTGCAGTTGCATAATTCTTTTTTTAACTTCTTTGATTTCAGCATTTCTCCTTTGCATATGTTTTTTGTTTGTGTTTGACTCTTTTTTGTGTTGGCTAAGTTCGGGTTTTTTTATCACTGTGCATGTATGTATTTGCAGTGCAATTGCACTTTTTCTATGTCTGCGATTGCAGCATTCTTGCTTTGCAGTGTTTTACCTTTGCATGGGTTTTGTGTTTTTGTGTTTGCAGTGCGTTTGCAGTGTGTTTGCACCCCTCGGTCACAGTTTATTTGTTTAGTTTCCATCAGAAAACATTGGAAACAATATAATCAATACATATAGTATGCTATGATCAATATTTGTAATGTTTCTGTTAAATTTTAATTTGTTTTTTATTAATTTCTAATTGATGCAAAAAAAATCTATAATTCCATAATGTGTAATACTTTTATTGACAATTTGGACAAAAAAAACTGAAAAAAAAAACATACATCAACATATTAAATATTTTATTGATGCCTTTTTTATCTAACTTGGTCTAACGTGTGAACATTAATCATAGGTCACTACAGGATAAAGTTACTTAAGGTGAAGCAACTTCTTTTCTAGTCTAAATCATAAAGTCATTATCAGAATTCACTGGCAATGACAATACAACATTGTTTTATCATCTTACTGTTTTTATGTCCCCCAGTAAAAGAGGTTGTTGTATAATTCAAAATGGCCCCACAGCTCTCTGCAGATCCATTAGACCTCCTTCAGTCTATTACTTTTACGACTAAAACAGGTCACGCTTTTTGAACCAGTGTCTCCAAAACCAGGAACTCAACATTAAGCCTGAAGAAATCCTTCTGCAGTGGGTTATGATTAATTCCCCTACATGATCTGTCCTGGCAGAACCTAAATCAGAAGAGAAGGGTAATCTTTTCATTACCTCCACTTATCAGAAAATCCTTTAGCCACAAAAGTCAACATTAAAAGACTTATTTTGACGAGGCTCTTATGTTAAATTACTGTTAAACTCTTTGACAGTGGCTCCATCAACTGACTGGATTTGTTTTTTCCAGCTCATCAGGCTCCTTACAATCTTTGATAACTTCAGACAGTCAGACTAAAGTCGCCTCTGGTCGCTTTCTTTTGTCGGTGTGTCTGCAGCCCACATGAGTGTGAGTGTGTGTTTTGCTCAGTAATTACCATCATACCACCTATAATTATGTGAAGTGTGTAGATTTGTAGATATGTCAGATGTTTGATTACAGAGACTGGCTCAAACTCGCATTAAGACGCTGAGCTGAGCAGTGAAACATTGAAACCTGTCACAGGATGAAATACAGCAGTCAGATGAGCCAGTCAGCTGACAGCTTTGGCAGAGCCTCGTCCAGGGCTCTAATAGTTGATGGAGACGTCTGGCGTTATGTAGAGGACTTCCCATGAAGTGTTTTCCAGCCGGTAGCATATGCAGGAGCAGAACTGTGTCTGATGTCCTCGAAGTGTTTGCCAGCCAGTGAGAAACGTGGCCAAGAGAATCTGCCTGCTATTGCACGGCACAGTAGCAGCTCCGCAGCACTGCGTTCAAGGCCAATTAGCAGCTAAAATAGCTCCGTATTTACAAATTAGCTGACAGAAGTAAACAAAAGTACTTTTTTTTTTGCACTGGAGGAAACTGGGAGCCAATTATCGTCTGCGCAAGCAAAACCTAATTTGGTGAGTCATAGATGTGAGGGAGACAGGCTGGGTGGGTGGGGGGTCACGGGGGCTTACAGAGGAAAGGAAGAGCAGAGAAGAAGGCTTGTGTTATGTCTCTCTGCTCACAGATCTCTTTCATAGTGGGACTCATCACAGAGATCGACACATCCAGATAGAGACGGGAGGTTATTTCCTCCACCATCCATCATCCTTTCTCAGATAAGAACCACAGGAAGTGTCTTCTCTCCAGCAGTTGGTTGTTCTTTCCAGTTTGTCCCTGGTTTGTTTTCTTCCATTATTTACAAAACAATCAAAGCATAACCTATAAAGTATTGATGCTGCCTAAAAAAACTCATGTAAGCAGTTTCACTTAAAGGAAAAGAATTCAAACTTCTGACAGTATTTAAAATCTGAAATGATTACATACGGTTCAATAAGGGACAACTGTTTTTAATTAAGAGTAATTTTCATTTGAATGTGCTTTACTGGAGGCATCCATGTTTGTCAAAGAACACTACTGCCACCTACTGGTTTGTGATGTCACAGTGCGGTATCGGCTGTTGAGCAAGTCCCAGTGCTGTATCTGGTGTTTGTCACAACGCGCTATTATCCAAGCTACATATTACGTGTTTATCCTCTGGCCAGTGTTTATTCAATGGCAAACCCTCTCTCTTCAATTTGGCAATCCAAAGACGAACCCGTCGGTTCATGAATCGGAAAGGTGAAATAACACATTTTGTTTTCACGTTTACCCGATGTATTACAACATCCAACTGCCATGCACGTGGGCATAGTCAGTTTAGCCCTGATGAATTTCAATGGTGAAGTCCTCTGGAAATCTTAAATATTGTTGTTGATTGTAGGTGTGTCTAGTCATTCCCACTGATTTTGCTTGTAAAGCGGGCAGAATGGAGCTAGGCCTACCTCACCGTGACATCACTGCTGGAAGATGTCAGGAGGGAGGGGCTACTAAATATGGGCAAAAATTCCCGCTCCTAGAATCAGTGATTCCGACAAAAATTATTGTTTTTATTTTTTTACTGAATTTTATTGAATTTTGCGTTTTACTAACGCAAAATTCAATAAATCATGATGAACGTATTAATTTTAGGTATAAATAATGATCCATTGATTATTCCTTGCTGATCAGACTTTTCTTTTAAAACACAGGAATGTAAACTGCTCTCCTTCCTTTTTTTGAGGGTTTTCTGTATGTAGATTCAGCATCAGCCCCCGATATATATATCTATATCTATAGATATATCTATAGATATAAATATATATTGCCACCATGACTCCACACTCCTTCTCTGCTCTTATGCTCCTCTAGGTTCTCTCCCACTCTCCCGTGGACCTGTTTCTGTTTCTCAGGTCTACTTTTGTCACTTTGTGTGAGGAACCTACCTGAGAAGTAAACTGCCTGTGATTGGCTACTTTTAAAACATGGTTTAGTGAGGTCATAATGAACAGACTCCCAGTCAATGTGATCATCAGCATAGTCTTAGTCTTGCCTGACCCTAAAACCTTTGTAGAATAGAAAGGGAACTTTTCAGTGGAGCTCAGCTTCAGGGCATCAGACCCAGTGGTGATTTTGATGCAGCTGTTATTTCAAGTTGAATGTTGCGTGTTATTCCAAAGGGAAAATTCGTATCGAAAATGAAATAAGAAATTCTCAAAAACATTTTATAATGTTTGAACTCTCACGTATTTTTATCTTTTCAAGTAAATTAGAGCTAATTTTCTGTAATATCGTAATAAAGAAAAAATGATCTGCTGTTACATGATTCCTGTCGTAAAAACATTTTGTTGAATTTTAAGTCATTATTTTAACTAATTCTGTGTAGCACTTTTATACTAGTTTCACTCT